TGCCCAAGATCCCAAGAGGAGAATGGAGGAGAAGGGATTGAGGCATGGCCAGTCCCCCTGAGGGGTGATTTCTCGCTTTCTATCTCTCTGTCGCTTTCTGTCTTTCTGGCAAGCGTACACGCCCTATAGCAAACACTTCTCCAAAAAAAGAAAAAAAAAAGGAAAAAGAAAAAGAAAGAAAAGATGGGAGAACAAGATTCAGTAAAGGCCAGAAGGCGGCCATGCTGAGAATGTGATCAGCAGGTAGTATTTTACAATCAAGCCAGGAGGCCATGCTGGAAGTAATGCACCCCATATGGTTTCAGTGTTTTTGTTACTTTGTTTATCATTGAAATCCCATTGACCTTCTCTAGGATCATGCGTCCCTTGGTTGGAAGTTGAGGGAGCTATGGAGTTCCTTGATATCCCACCAAACTGTATTCCACGGGGAGAGGAAACTCCTGGAAAAGGAAGTCAGACTGATATTACTTAAAGGACATGAAATATCCTGGACCCCCAGAAAGAAGAGGAATGCAAACAGTCAGAACTGGAGCTTTCGCCTGAGCAAGAACAAGGACACAAACTTTATTTCCAGATAGCCCCTCCACCCTCCTTCATTCCTACGCACTCATAACCCGAGTGCAGGGCATTAACTCTCCACAAACTCTCAGCCACTGGGAAACAAAAGCCAGGGGATAAACTCTCCCTTCCCACCACCCCTGAATGATCCCAAGAGGCATTTCAGCTGGCCTTTCAGAGGGTTCTGTGGGATTAAACAGTTACCAGCTGAGGCAGCCGACTCGGTAAGAATTCCTTCTATTGGTTTCCCTCTTGCCCAGCCTGGATCTCCCATCCTTGTTCCTGCTTCCTGGGGTCACGCTCCTCTATAAAGTACTCACATGAAGAACTCTGCCTCAATTCCTGCTTTCTGGGAACCCCAGATGAAGGTAAGGGCAAGGGGAATCAGGAGTGGGAGGATGGGATGAGAGAGGAGATGGCATGAAATAGAGCATCTGGGTAGGTCTGGTTGAAAAGATGAGACTTGAACAAAGACCTAAGTCACGTCTTTGAAAGCGGGCCAAGTGAATTTGGGGGGAAAGAAGTCAGGAAGTATAGCCATAGATGAGTAGTAATCATGCAGTTTGACGAGTTTCTGGCCAAGGGTAGCAGAGCTCAGTAACGCAAACTCTCGGAGCAGGAGACTTGCAATAGCAGGCTAGCAGGAGCGAAGGAGTTTAAGGGAGGGTGACGTCCCAGGGCATGGGGCGGGGGGGATAGGGCAGCTGGAGAGAGTGAAGCTGAACCTTAGTCCTAGAGAATCCAGAGCAGGTCACTGAAGAAGCTCTCAGGGCTCAGTGCTTATAAAACTATGAGAAGGAAGCCCGTTCCTCCGTTAGACCAGGCAGCACAGGTGGACCACCACCTGGGAGCTGGGTTCTAAGTAAGATGCTCAGGTCCTGCCGCCAGAAATTCTGATTCAACTGGTCTCAGGTAAATGCGGAGCACTGATATTTCTTCAAAAGTGCCCCAGGACCGTTCCTCTGTTAGACCAGGCAGCACAGGTGGACCACCTGGGAGCTGGGTTCTAAGTAAGATGCTCAGGTCCTGCCGCCAGAAATTCTGATTCAACTGGTCTCAGGTAAATGCGGAGCACTGATATTTCTTCAAAAGTGCCCCAGGATTTTTAAGGTGCAGCCAGTGCTGAGAATATTTGTAGTAGGGACCAGCAGTTAGCGTAATGGCTATGTTGCTGCACTCCCATGTAGTTGACCGTGGTTCAAGTCCTAGACCCAGTGGCTTAAACTCACGCCGGGTGAGTGTGCGTGCATGCCCAAGATCCTGAAAGGAGAATGGAGGAGAAGGGATTGCAGTGTGGCCATCCCCCCTGGTGGGTGATTTCTTGCTTTCTGTCTCTCTCTCTCTCTCTTTCTGGTGAGTGCATGCACCCTGTAGCAAAAAAAAAAAAAAAAAAAAAAAAAAAAAAAAAAAAAAAAAAGAATATTTGTAGTAAGCAGAAACTTCTGAGAGAGGACCTGCCCCTGAGCACCCACTATACCACGACTTGCTAGCTAGTAGGTGCTCAGGATACATAAGCTAAAGAAATGGATACTGTTTGAATGAGGAAAGGAAGTCACTGTCGGGTATAGAATTTGAGCAAGGTCAGAAGTAGGATTGACCTGCATCCTTCCTGACTGTAGAGAGGTCTGGCCCAGAGCTGCAGCTAGGTAGAGCCTACATCCTCAGAAAGGGGAGAGCGGAGGCAGGGCAGTGGAGTGGGTAACCAGTTATAACCAGCTCATTACAAACCAGGGAGGCATGGGGAATCTCAAACACACATTAATGACTACTAAGCCTGATTGAGGACATCCCATCTTTATTAAAGTATCCCATCTTCACATATATGGCCTTCTGATAGGACATAAAATGGTGACTTTCATTAAAGAGGGCAGTGGAAGAAGGAGGTGAGGAGCCAAGTTACTAGCAGAGGTGGGGTGAATAAGAGCCCTCGAAAGTGCAGGGTGGTATCCCACCTCCTGCTTTTTGCTTCTTTCTACCAACTCCATCCCATAACCTTCTACCAGAAATCTACCAGAAAGCCTTCTCTCCTCCCACTTCCAACCACGTGACATCCCATTATAAGGAAATGTAAGATTCTCCCACATACCTATGTACTGCTCTATGGTCAAAGCACTTCTCATCTGTAATGCTCCCCTCTTGCTGAAGACAGCCCATCTCTATGGATCTCAATGGAGAGCTATCTTTGGTAAGAGGGCCCATGCATGGCCATTGTGTGACAGTCACTCAACTATAGATTCGGCAACGGTCCCCACAGGACAAGTTCCTGTGCTGTCATCAACTGCTGAGAATCTGTTACACTTGGTCTCTGGACACTGAGGACCCTCCATTGGAATGGCAAGTCATATTTGGTTTCCAGGAACTTTGTGCTTTGTTTCTAAAACCCTGTCTCCTAAGTCTCCCTTAAATTTTCTGCCACATGAGACACCTTCCTTGGTGGAACTCCACTTCAGCCACAGTCTTTCAGGCAGGTAGACTCCTGAGTCCACCCTGAGTGGAGAGAAGCTGGGAGCTGGGGATTTGAGAAAGGGAGACAGAGCCCCTGTGTCACAGCACTAAAGGGACACTGGTGCCCCATCTCCCTTCCTTTGGGAGAAACCTGTGCAGCGTGCACGGATGGGAGCTGTGGATCAGGCTCATTCAGCAAGCAGAGTGGAATTCAAGGCTGCAGCTTACAGGCTCAGGAGGCCCTGAGGGGCAGAGGTGGGAATCAACCAGAGAGCAAGGGTGAGCTGCTTTCTGTGAAAAGGTCTTCGAGACCGCCTAATCCTGTCATTGTCACACTCGTCTGAGGCAGGTGGACTTTTTTTTCATAGAAAAATCTTTACTGGAACTCCATCTAGGATAAAGCTGTTCTGATTGATGTAAGAAGAGGAAGTAAGAGTCAGGGGTGAGTGGCAGTCTGACCAGGAGTCAGAAACCCACTGGCTCAGACTACCTTCCAGAACCCCCAAGTCCCTGAAGCAACTACACTGAACTTTGGGGTGCTGGGTTTCACTTGGAAAGACTGATGACCTAGCCCTAATTCTTAATTTAACAGATGGACAAGCTTGGTAATTTGTCCAGGGTTCTTACTGAATTAGGGATGGCGCCTGTCAAAAACTGGACCCCACCCCTAACTCAGGTCTCCCCTTGCCTCCTTTCATCAGCTGGCCTTGGGCCTCTCGGACTTCTCAGACCGAGCTGCGGAAGGAGAACTGCAGGTAGATGATCAGCAGCAGGACCGTGGCCCAGAACAAGCACCAGGGAATGGAGCAGAAGTTGCAGCCCGAGCCCGTCTCGGCCTGTGGCTTGGCGGGGCTGGGCGCCCGGGAGAAGGTGTAGGTGGTCGCTTCCTCGTCCAGAAGCTTCTCGCTGGGCTTCCAGTGCACGATGCCCTCCTGACAGGCCTCGCAGAACTCGCCCCGGTGCCGCCGGGTGTCATGGCGGCTGGCCACGTGGATGCGGTAATGGCCGCCACGCTCGCCATAGCACTGCTCGCGCAGGCTGGTGATGAGATTGTCCACCAGGCTCTCGATGTTCTCCTCCAGCATGCTCGACTCGTCCAGCCGCGCCGTGCCGCACTCGTAGCACAGCTGCTTGAAGACGCGCATGCGCACCGAGCCCGCCCGCTGGGCACGGTCCAGGTACATGTGGAAGAGGATGACCACGTGGGGCGACTGCCAGGTGTGCCAGCACCAGGAGCAGTGGAACCTGCGGGGAGGGGAGGGAGAGAGCACAGTGTGGAGATGATCCAGACTGCCCCAGGAGGGGGTAAGTGTACCTGGGAGTGGGCAAAGGCTGGGGGTGGAGGCGTTGTGAGCCCCTGGGTTCATTAGCTTTCCCCAGGAGCCACCCAGCCTGCCCCCTGTGAGTGCCCGTGGGACTCCAGAGTGCTCCTCCGGCATTCCCCAGGGCTCCTCCCTGTGCTTTCTGGGGGCTCAGCTCCTCCACCTGGTGCCTTCAGGCCCTTGCCAGGCCATTCCTCCTCCTCTTGGGATCATTCCTCTCTGTAAAGCGCACTCTTGCTCTGGTGAGTCTTCTTGCTCAGATCTCTTACCCCCCTGACAGGCAGGATGGCCCGCCAGATAGGAAACCCGCCCGCCCCACGGTCTTCTTCAAGCTGATGGTGACGCTGGAGCTAGATTCCAATCAGAAGGAAATCTGAAGCCGGCCATCATCACCTATCAGCCTCCTATAGGACCTCCACATTTTCATTCTTATCTCCTCTTGTTTACTCACATTTTCTTTAATGCACTGTTTCCCTCAGACCACTGTACAAAACTCAGATCTAAAAACATCAAAACTGGAGGAAACAGAAGTGAGCTGATCCATTCTTTGTTTTATTCTGTGACCCAGAGAGTAAGCGGGCAGTCCAACCACCCAAGGCTAGCCAGGGACAGAGCCAAAGCCCATCACATGTGGGGGCCCAGTAATGTTTCTTGAACTGAAAGGAAGGGACTGAGCAAGGGCAGGCAGGAAGTCTGTGCTTCTGACCCCAAGGCTGCTCCGTCTTACATCCCAGAGGTAAGTCTTCACGCTACAGACCTACTGGCAAAAATGATAGGCCACTCCAAGCATTATTGTACCACCAATCACTAGGGATCTCTTCAGAATGCACATTCCGACTCAGGTCTGGAGAGTGGCCCGAGATTCTGCATCTCTAACAAGTTCCAGAATTTCCTGATGCTCCATGGACAACAAGGCACAGATCTAGCGTTAGCCCTCACTTTGCAAATTGGACAAAGCGCGGTCCAAGAAGAAAACTGAATTAGTTATGGGCCATGAAGCTAACAGGAAAGCCAGTTTCTACCATACCTCGTGTATTCAGTATTTTAAATTAAGCCAAACTGAATTAGATAAACTTAAATTGAAGGGTCTCAGGACACCCAGTGGACCTAAAACTCCCCTTATCTTGGTTTTCAACTCCTTTTTGAGACATTATTAAATACTAAAATGTGTACAATGTCAGCAGGTAGGACTAATACAAGGAATTTCCAAAAGGTTCATGGAAAATGCAATTATGAAAAAAGCTGGATGGATTTCTAATTTTTTTGAGAGAGAGAGATTTTCACTATAGGGCGCGTGCACTCACCAGACAGAGAGAGAGAGACAGAGAGACAGAAAGTGATAAATGACCCCCCCAGGAGGGATGGTCATGCCACAATCCCTTCTCCTCCATTCTCCTCTCAGGATCTTGAGCACGCATGCACACGCGTCCGGCGTGAGTTTTAAGCCACCAGGTCCAGGACGCAAACTGCAGTCGACTACATGGGAGTCCAGTGATACAGCCATTACGCTAACTGCTGGTTTCCTAATTTATTTATTTATTTATTTATTTATTTTTGCACAAAAATAAGCTCATATTTAAATTCTACTTTCCCATAAACTTTTTGAGATACCATTATAAACATATTCTTCCTCTGGATTTTCTAGATAGAGAAACTACGGCTCAAAGAGGAGACGTTACACAGGTGATGAAAGCCAGAGCTGGATCTAAACTCAAGTGTGCCGACTCCCACTCGGGGATTCTTTCTCTGTGCCAGTCTCTACCAGCCTAACTGCGACTGAAACCAACGGCCTGGGTTGTATGTGCCCCTCTCAGAAGGTGCTCGGGCCAGGAGCCCAGAGGCTGCCTGCAGCCCTTACCAATGGGCTACTCACCGGCCTGAGGCGTGCAGCTCCAGGTACTGCTTCCAGCCAGGGGCCAGCACATTGTGCTTGAGGTTGGGGTCGATGATGAGGTCCCAGCTGTCGGCTGGCTTTGCCTCCTCCATCTTCTCGTAGAAGATTTTCTTCCACTCGCCCGTGGTCACACTTTTACACATGGTCTCGTCAGTAGTGAAGGAGGGCAAGCTCCACCGGAGAGAGAACACAGAGAGTGAGGGCAAGTGCAGGGCAGGGCAGCGCAGTCTCCACGGTCTGAAAATCCTCATCGACGGGGCCTGGAGGAAGCAGGACCCAGATCCCTCCTTTGTCCGCAGTGGAACCTGTTTCCACGGCAACCAGGCAGGGCGCCAGGAGAGAGAGTCTGGGGAGAATGGAGTCTCTGAAGAAGTGATTCAGGCCCTGGCCTGAGGTTGCAGAGGCAGGGCTTGTGGGTCTAAGTGATCTGAGACAGGGTGGGGGACCTGGCAGGAGACTGAGCTTCAGACCATCTCACCCTGGTCTGCAAAGGGCATGGAGAAGGGAGGACTTAGGAGCTGGCTCAGCTTCACCTTGCTGCCCCCTGGAGGCATCATCAGCACCTGGCTGCCATGGTAACCATGATGCCTGGGGAGCCAGAGAGAGAAATAAGGGATGGGGAGATGTAGCCCTGTTAGTAGATAGAGCAGTAATAATGAACTCTTCCTGTGCACCCCACCTAGCATATGACTGGAGCTTTGCCCTTTACAAAACACGATGAGGACACTGGCTACCATTGGCACTGTATAATTCAGGAGCCTAGGACCCAGCTAGCCTGTATGTGGCAGCATTCACATCCAAATCTGAGTGGTTGACCCTATAGTAATTTATTAATTCAGCCAGGCTCTATGCTGGGTGCCTGTAACCGGACGTGTACTCAGTAACCATCACACAATGAGGACGCCCATGTGCAAGGACAGCCACCTGTGCTCAGAGGCAGGAGCCGTTGCATCAGCCCACAGGAGCAGACAAGAGGATTTCCAAGTTGATTATAAGAGGGTTGAAGAGGCACCTGATCCACAGGCAAAACTACCTTTACTATAGTGGCCTCTCCTGCTAGTTTTCAATTAATTCTTTTTCCTTTAAAAGGTCAGATGGGTTAATATGAATAAATCATACAAATAAACTAAAGCAAATGCAAGACTCTCCTATAACAGCCCAACCCAAGATTACTAGTGTTCATATTATAAGATGCTATATGATAATATATCTTTAATAAGTATAATATATATACACTGCCATTTTTCTGAACACACACACACATATATATATATGTACATACACATTCTACACACCCTATACCTCATTGTGGTGCATATTTTCAGTGAATAATACATCACAAATAATTTTCATTAATAGTATTTCATATTGTTTCATAGTAATATCTTATAGGCCACTTACATATATTCTGAATGGACATTATTTAGTCAATCCTATATTGGAGGTATTAAGGTTTTATTTCAATTTCTCACAATTATTAGCATAAAATGTGTTGACGAAGCTCACAGCTCACATTCAAAGCACCAGAGATCTGGCTTCCGATCACCGGAAAACATGTATCTTGACTGAAGCCTCTGCACGGCGCGGTGTGGCAAGCAGAATCCAAGCAGACTTATCAGACAATACAAATTACGGTTATCCTGTAGATCCTGATGTTTTAGGACAAAAGAAGAGCCTAGAAATCCATTCTCCTTTCTTTCAAGTGCTCTTCCTGTCTTTACATAAGTGCTTGATGCCTTGATTCACATTATTTCAGCCTCAGTATATTCATCTAAGCGCTGAGATAATAAAGAAGCAGTATCTGTAACGATTAAAACAGGAGCTCTGGAATTATTTGCCCGGTTTCTTTCTTTCCTTTTTCTTTCCATTCCCTTTCATCCTCACAGGATGTGTTTCTAATACATTTAATGTACATCTTTTCATTCTGGTAGAACATGCATTTTTAATTTTCATAGCAATAGCAGGCACTGTCCTAACTGCTTTATAAATATTCATTTATTTCATCCTAATAACAAGCCTTAAGGCAAGCAATTGCATCAGCTCCATTTTGCACATACGTAAGCTAAGGCACAGAGGTTAGATAACATGCCTAAGATTCAACAGCTAGTATTTGCTTGAACTGGGATTTGAACCTATATAACTTCCTCTAAAGCCCCAGTTTTAACCATGAGGCTGACCAGCATGGAATCTAAAACATAACATTTGCTAATTAAATGTGTGCTTTTCCCTTCTCATCGATGGACATGACCATTCTGGAACCTGGAGGTTGGAAGTGAAATTCATATCCTCTCAGTAAGTGGTTCACTAGGTCACAGAGAAGTCACATTCCTCTGGAAGAAAAGTGAGTAGTACTGACCACCAGGCCCCTTGCTCCTGCTCTGCTGCTGACCCTGCCATGAATTTAGTGAGGTAAAGGTGTCCAAAGGCCCCTAGTGCCCAGTATAAATATTTTAGAGCTGAAAGAGACATTCCACTTGAAATCTTACCAAAAAAAAAAAACCACCTATAAAAAATCATCTCTAGGCACACCAACCCTGTGACGTCACAAGCATTTTAATGACAGGCACCCTGGCTCAGTGGGAGAGCACTAGACTGAGGGAGAGTCAGGAGACACGAGTATAGACCTCCGCTTTGGGACTGGCTGGCTTTGTGATCTTGGGCCAGTCACTTCCTTCTCCTTAGACTCAGTTTGTCCTTCCATTCAGTGAAGAATTAGAGCACATGACGACTGTAAAGTCCCTTCTGAGCCTATGTAGCCGTAAATGGTTCCAAAAAGCTTTATACTTAGAAACCTGGATCCTTGGAGGGTAAGAGGCAGGATGGAGGCCACAGGATGGAGAAAGGATGTTTCTAAGGAGGCGTGCCAGGTCGTGACTAGAGCCAAACTTTGCTCCTTGGGGCCTGATATGTCGTTGGAGAGCTCTGGGGAGTGGTGACTCTATCAGATTTGTACTAGACACTGTAAGAAGGACAGAAATTAAATCTAGACCCACTGAACATTAACACTACGAAGGACTTTGGGACCCTTTCTAAAACTTTTAATCCTTCAAGTCAGTATTCTTGCCTCTGAATGAAGGCAGTCAACACCCAGATAAGCAAACAGACTTAACCAGCCTCACAGGTATGATTGAAGCACTCAAATGTCAGCCACTGACCCAGGTGAGAATGGAGGCCCAAGACCTTCCCAGAAGATATGTGAAACTGAAAGAAGCTTATAACCAGAAGTATTAGCCAGCACCCAGTGAGTTCTCTGGAAGTATGCTGCAGTTGTTGCTACAATAAACACTATGATGAAAAACAAGAAGACAGAAGGTAAGAAGCACCAGCGTGTGTGTGCATGTGTGTGTAACCAGCTGATGCAATCCCCATCGGCACAAATTAAGTTTAATTTAGAACCTGAGCTTGCTATGCAGAGACCAGTGTAATACATCCTTCTGTATGGCAGAGTGTTTTCTCGAATAAAAATATTTTTATCAAGATAAAAAAAAATGGGTGCTATAATGTATTCTCTATTAAATGAGTGCCAATGCTGAGGAATCCACAATTTAGAGATTGTCAGTCAAGACATGTTTAAAACTCTTGGTCCAACTCTATTCCATTTAAGGTTTCTGGTCATATACTAAATGCATAAAGTGGTTTAAAACTAAGTCCTCAGCTAGAAAGTTGAGTAAATAAAAAAAGAAAGAAGAGCCAGCTCATAGCCTGATGGTTGAGGCTTCTGGATCCCATGTGGTCAACTGCACAATTTAAGTTCCAAGCTGGTGGCTTGGGAAACGTGCCGGGTGTATGTGTGTGCCCAAAACCCCTCCAGGAGAGGGAAAGGGAGGAGGGGCCAGCGGTGTGATCGTTCCCCTGGAGAGGGCTTTCTTTCTCTTGCTCTCTATCTCTCATCTCTCTCTATATGCCCTTTGACGATTTTTCTTTTTAATAAAAATATAAAAAGGAAGAAAAAAAAAACATGCCTCTAATTTGTTGCTTAACTAAATAGCAAATATTTTATAAAACTTACTACTCTATTATTGCTTCTCAAATTTTTTAAAGAATTATTTTATTTAACTTTATTTATTTATTTTAATTTGACCACAGATGGACAGAGTGAGAGAGAGCAAGAGAGGGAAAGTGAGAAAACAAGTCGCTAGGTTTGGGACTCGAACTGCAGTCGGCCCTGTGGGAGTCCGAGCGCCCCCAACCATTATGCCACCTGCTGACCCCACTTATCAAAATTGTATAAAACTAAACATCATGGGACCAACAGTTAGCATAATGGCTATGTCACTGAACTTCCATATAGCCGACCGTGGTTCAAGTCCTGGACTTGGTGGCTTAAGCTCACACTGGGCGCACGTGCGTGCCTGCCCAAGATCCTGAGAGGAGAATGGAGGAGAAGGGATTGTGGCGTGGCCATCAGCCCCTGGGGGGTGATTTCTCGCTTTCTGTCTCTCTGTCTCTTTCTGTCTTTCTGGTGAGCGCATGCACCCTATTAAAAAAAAAAAAACTCACACTAAACATCATCATTCTTGAAATGATGCATTAATAAAAAATAATTCTCAACCACAGAGAGCTCCCTGCACCTAAGTGGTATTTGGGAAGGGAGAGGAGTGTGTTTTGGGATTGAGCCAATGTCTAGATGTCTCTACTGGCACTCGGTGCCCAGGGACCAAAGGTCTGAATGTGGCTGACAGTCCCACAGCCAAGAATCTTCCCTCCCAGAATGTCCCGTCCTTGCAGAGCCAGAACAGTAACCCGCTCCATGATGTGTGGGTTTCCTGTTATAAAGAGCCCAGGTAGAAGGCACAGCTTTCAGTTGAAGAGAACCATGATTCTGTTCACAGCTGGCAGCATTCCTTCTTAGGAATCAATTTCTCTAAGCCAGGGGCTGGAGCATTGGCACAGCGGTAAGATACAATGCTCTGTGAGGCAGCCCCACATGGGAAAGTTCCGGGTTCTTTCTGGAGACTTCCCTGAATGTGCCAGGTGCGTGTGCTCATAATCTAGGGCTGGCTGGTGTTAGGGTGGATAGGTGTTAACATCCTATTGATGGTTCTCTGTCTCTATGTCTCTCTCTCTCTGTCTATTTCTTTCACACATGGAAGAAATAAACTTTTAAAATATCTCCAAGTCAGCAGAGCCCAAAAATGAGGGAACAGGAAAAGAAGCAAGTAAAGAAGGGGAGGATAAGGAAGGGAAGAAAAGAGGTAAAGAGAGGGAAGGAGAGGAGAGAAGAGCATGGGGGAAAAGGAAAGAAAGGAAAGGAAAAAGAAAGGGAAGGGAAGGAAAGGAAAAAAAAAACACCTTCCCTTTTTTCGTTTAGTATTTTGCCATAGGGCACATGCCCTCACCAGAGATGAGGGAGACGGAGAGAGGGAACATGAGAAATCGTCCCCCAGGGATTGCTATACCACAGTGCCTTCTCCTCCATCCTCCTCTC